ATCATCAATTATCAAACGCGGGCAATAGTGAAATAAAAAAATTATTTAGCATATTTGAAGGTCCATTTATTATAACTAAAATAATTAGTGAAAATACATTGGCAATTACGCAAGGACAATCAAAAAAAGAAACACTAATAAATGTTGCAGAAGTACGCCCATACTTTGAGGCGGACAACCAATCAAAGTAATTATTATACGACAGCAAATAACATGATCCAATCGGAGCCCCATAAACGATTAACGTATCAGAAAAGGGAGTGGATCAAACAAAAAGGTATATAAACAGCCGCGAAGTATTAACAAGAAATTATTCAGTCATTAACTACCATGGCACCGACTAGAAAGTATGAGGAGCTAAAAAAAGCTGCCGCAGAGAAAAGAAGACAAATATGTAAGACTGACACTATCAATAGCCACGGACTGGCATCAGTTCGACAGGTGAAAATAGATGCCAATGATGAAGCACGCAAACGAAACAGAGAAAAACACATGTCCATAATACAATGGGTGAACGAGGTAAACGCAGTAAGACAACGTCATAATACCGATTGGAATACACCGGCAGATTGGAGAATGGTGACGGAACGAACCGTTCATAGATATATACCATTCGAACAAAATGACGTACAACTGTCGGAAGCAATAAGATATATCACAGAGAACCTGGCAAAATATGAAAAACCAAGAACAGCAAGAAAATGCGTGGGAGAAAACACACCGTTATGGTACTTGTCTCGAAACGCATTACGTAAAGCACTATACAGAGCGTCTATACGACGCAGCGAGCTGACGACAGATTAATGCCGAATGACTCCACCACCCGGACACTAATCTGGGGGGGGGAGTTGTAACGGAACAAACATACACCACTAAAACGGCCATTCTCATGGCCAACATATATTATCATATGACAAATATATGAATTCTGCCGATGGAAAATGACATCGTTTCAACCAAGCGACCATCGGAACGAGAACAGTTGGGATTGCCTAACCAAAGGGCCGGCAGCCAATCAGAAACCGGAATACATCGGTGAACAGGTATATATACCGGTGCGTTCCCCAATGTACTTAACTTCTTTCAAAACCTTCAGACCTTCAACAATTCTACCAAGAACAAACCCGAAGGACCTGAAGCAGCACCAGCCAACGACGATCCGAGACCTGACCGTCGTGGAGACGAGCTACCAAACGCTCTCGCAGCCCCGACGACCACGAGCCACGACGATCCGTAAAGCGACCATTGCGGAAACGAGCTACCAAGAGTTCCGGCATTACCATCGACGATCCACGGACCACGGACAGCCTGCGGCGGATACGAGACATCAAGTTTTTTCACAACGTCGACCGCTAGACTGTCGAACACGCCGTGACACAGCCACGAGGCCATAGCGGCATCACCCCGTCGGCACTGACGAGCAGCACCTCCGCCGAACTTATCCTGGCCGACGCTAATACCGTCGGGTAACCGCGGGAACCAATAAAATCGTCCTTTTCAGGACGACCACCCAAATTCGACCCCTCAAGCGCGCCTGTTACGGCCACGCTACCCGAACGAAGTTCATAAACCGAACGCCACTTTTACAAGCGGGCCCGGTATATTAACTTCATTCCTTCCACTTGACTTGTAATTATATCAGAAACTATTCACACTATTGTACGGGAAACCGACGGCCGGGTGGCCCTCGAACCCTCCCCTTTAAAATTGTAAATAATTAATCATTCCATGGAAATAAACAACAATCTGTTATACTAAAATCCGAAGAAGTTTTTCATTATTGCACAACGGTGCCACGTGAAATACGTGCACCGTTTCAAAAGGTATAGGTATTGCTATGTTAAAAATTGAAAAATACATAATTATGAAAGTCGGTTCCAAAATTAAGTACCTAGCAGATTAATAATTTGACAGTTTCAAATTATTTACAATCTAGTAAACTATATTTAATTATGAATAGGACGCCACTCGGGCATTTGTATTTTGGTCTTACAAACGTATAGGTACACCATTTCAAATTGCACGATCAGAATGACACATTTTACTCTGTAATTTCTAAAATTAGAGTGAATTTACTTATAAAAAATTTAAAGGTAAGATTATTATCTAGGGTATCTCGGAGGCGTTTATTGATAAAATTCTTTATTAGTAAGTTATGACCATTTTTAAACTGTAATTTTTTTTTTACATTTTAAAACGATCATATAACTTAGGATAAATAATAATATCAATAACATTTTCCGAGACGCCCAAGATAATATTCTTACCTTTAGATTTTATAAGAGATAAATTCACTCTAGTTTTAGAAATTACAGAGTAAAATGTTCTATTGTGAATGTACAATTTGCCATGTTGTACGTTTGTAAGACAGAGACTGTGCTGCGTTCTCTTAAGTGTATTTTAAATTACCTAATAATACTTACAATGATAATTTGATAATATTTAGTTTACCTTTCCTGTTTTTTTGTTTTTTTAAATTTATATGTTTAAAATTTTTAACTTGATATAAATAGTTTTAATTTTAGTATAGAATCAATCACATCGTGTTTTAGAACTTTAGAAGTATAGTTCTATACCAAAGATGGTACCTATCATTATCGTTGTGATATTTTTTAATAGTCTAATTGTTAGAAATTTGGACTATCGAGAAAATTACCTAGCCCATCCGTTTTTATAGTAAAATCAAGTTTATAAAAATGTATGGATATTTTGAGTTTAACTGTTTAAATCATGGTGAAATATATTTATTATTTATTTAACAGATTTCAAATATATTTAGTCTAACGTAATTGTCATTTTGTATATCATGTATACATAATATATTTAGTAATTATTACTTCTTGGTAAAATGACAAATAATCTAAAGTTGAACCCAGTTCTTGGAGTATTGGAACTTATTTTAATATTATATATCATAAGTTTTGGAAATTTTAAATCATTTATTTAAGAACTTTAAATTTAAAAAACGATTTTAATAACTTTGTTCTGTTCAAAAACGTTGGCGATAGTTTATCATTTTCTTTTAAATTTAAAATAAAAAGAGCAGCACTTTTTGCCAAAGTCATATTTATTATATATTAATTATATTATAAAGCATGGCTATACCTACGTATATAATATATAATAAAACGGATGAAATCACACAAAACTTTTAAACAAAATTCGAAATTGAATCTCCAACTCGGGATAACTATTTAATGCAATTTCAATTTCCTCATGAATTCAGACCGACACCATTGTTTAACCGCCTTAATGCCATCAATGTCAAATTTCGATGAGTTCATTAAACTTAAATATAAATTACTGACGCCTATTATGAGTTAGTAAAATTATTTACATCCCACTGACCATATTAAGTTATCTGCTTATGTTTTTAGTATAGTGCAAGTGTTTACTTTCTTATGTCCATACTGCATTTATATTTTATTAATGTATAACCATAAAGTGCAAACATATAAAATATTTATTTTTTTTTTAATTCATCCAAGATTAAATAAAATATAGAAGTTCAAAAGTTGAAATCTATAAAATATTAAGACTCTATAAGGGACAGTTTCAAAGTTCGTTGGTACCTTTCGCACTGCTTAAAGTTTAAGAATTGTCTTGGATTAAGTAAAAATCAAAACCAAACTCCGTATATAACTGCGTATGATTTTTGTAGCAATTTGTTTTTCCTCTGAACACCCTTTGGTGGTTTCAATATAAGCTACGCTAGAAATAGGCACTTGTCAAATTCTATAGCTAAATACACCGTACAATTAATATTGTTCAATTTACTGTTTCCGAAAACCTTTGTTCTATTACATTATTATAATACATATTTTTACTAAAATTTATTGGAAACACATTGATTGAAGCGGGTTTCTAATGTTTTGCTGTAGCAGTTCAAACGTCAAGTACAGATTCTATCATTATTTTGTAACCCAGATTTACATTTTCACTTTTTCATAATTGTGTCCATACGCGAGTACAATATTTTTAATTATTATACATTTCTCATTTATAGAGTACTTTATTACTATACAATTGTTATGTTTATGTTAACACTAAATTACTTTGGTATTTGTTCAAATCAAGTTCATAATTCCAAATCGATTTTATTGTAGTTAATTACCATTTGCTTTAAGTTCAAAGTGGATTTTAATGTTAGTCTTTATCTGGTATATGTATATGAGAGTGCTTAAGTATACTAAAATCGATTTGCATGTAATTACTGGAGCAAATGTAACGTTATGTTGTAATCAACAAAATATAATATTAATTATATAACGACGAGAAGTTAATAATGATATGTAAATTATTAATTCGACTGATAAATAATTAATTTATTATAGCTGATTTAAATTTTAAATAATATGTATTTAAGACAATATCTAACGTAGTTGGGTAGTAGTTATTATTAATAAGACAACTGCTGTTGTTTCTTACTTATTTCTATATTTCATTGAAACTAAATATGGTTTTGTTTATTTTTTGTATCCTAAAAAATGTTTAATATTGTTTGCGTTTGCTTAAATAAAATGTCTTATTAGATCAAAGTCGTAAATGTAGGTAGGTATCTCTCAAGTCTCAACCTAACCTTTATTTTTACTGCTCACTGAATGACATTCTAGTACTTAAACTCATATTCCAATCAATATACGGACCGGAATAAAATACGGAAAGCCATAAAATACCACGGTTTATATGCATTTCGGGCGACACCAGTTGGATAGTCCCTGCACACATCAGAAGACGTGTCTCATCAGCTGTTAATAAAACTCCTTGTGTGCACTAGAGACTAGAAACCGTGATCGTAAAAATCTAAAGCCCACCACTATAATACATATATTGGCTGAGCGAATAAATTCGAGAACACTATTGTCGGATAAAATAAAATCCTTGTAAATATAAGATTTTATTTTTTCAAGACTACAAAAGGTTTGTTTACTTTTGCAGATGACGCTGAGCTGGAAGATTGGACGCAGTATTTTTCCAACAATATACAATGCCACGTAACCATGAAGCCCTTACCGTTCATGATCCATGTACTGCTGATACTGATATTCATAACCGTAAATAATTGTATGTCAACCGTATTCCATTTTAAATAAATAACGGTATTGTAATCACGCAAACTTCATATTATAGTAACTATTATAATATTATAGTAAGATAAAAATAGAAACACAGTAGTTTGTATTAGCTACTCGCAGTGAAAAGTATTTTTATTTTTTATATTGTACCGTGCAGTATAGTTCACGACAACTAAATGCCTTCAACTATTGATATAGTTTTAAATAATAAATTTAGATTTGGATTCTAAGCATCTACAATAATTGTGATGGGTAGTTCCGAAATGTCTCAAATGGATTTCGGTTATGATTTTTATTTGAATATTTTGTAGCTTTAAAAACAATTTGTTAAAGTTTTTAATTATTATAAACAAACTCAAATAAAATATTAGGATTATGTTTCGTTAAAACTTTTGTATTCAAACTATTTAAAATTAATATCTACCAATTTAACTTTGGTTTTTTATAAGTTACATTTCACATTTTTCTGTACTATTATTATACCTGGGTATTAAACTGTCGTAAATGTTATAAGTGATATTCCATTCGAAAAATAGGACAGAAAAATTATGTTTTATAAGTTTGTAAGTATCCCAGTGGGAACCAATTCAGATGAAGTCATATATTATTATAATGCATAATGCACTACCTTCCACATCTTCTACTATACGGTGGTATTGTTAGGTACTATATACATTATACATGTATGCTGTACATGAATATAATATAATAATATATTTATAATTAATAAAAATACATTTACAACGCGTATTTTAGGACTCCATTAACGTCTAAAAGTCTTCAATCTATTATATTATTTCGTCCTAAAAAATAATATCTTATAATAATTAAAATCGGAAATTCGTGTTTAACCCGTTTCATTTTAATTCATAAACCATAAAATATAGATATTACAGCAGTACTTATACCACTATCTGATGTTGAAATATATTAATTAATCTGTACTACATAATATAATGTTCTTGAATAAATATCAGGACTTATTTATTTTGGCTTAAATTATAATGTCAGAATACATAATTTATCGTATTTGTGGTTAATAATAATATCTACGTTTCTTTGTTATACAATTATTATTTAAGTTTTTTTGATTCATTGAATCTACTTTTCAAATCCTCGAGGAAAACAGGAGAATTACGTGTACGTAAACAATATCCGGTCTTAAAAGTTTAATTTCTATTTAAATATTTAACATGAAACTAAAAACTCGCCTCGACGAGTAGCATAAGTATAACTTGGTTAGGTATATTTGTTTTAATTTTCCGTAAGTCGTAACAATCACATTGACCGTAAAATAAATATTGTTTTGCACTATAATATAATAATAAAAATGTACTTATTATTATGTATATAGAACGTATACACCAACGGCCTTAATAACTACATATTATTATTGTACAGATAATGTCGATTGAAAAATATTTTAACTACGGGACCGCAAAGTTGATACCTACAGCGGTTGTATATAGGCGTGTACCGATGCTACATATATGTACCAATGTTTTGGTTAGGAACCTACCTACCTGCCCCTATAGTTTTGAAAACGATATTGCCGCTGTCCGCTCTTAACAATAATTTATACATCGCGTATACCGGAAGAGCGAACGGTGGTGGAGAAGCGGTTGGTTTTACTGTTGGCTAGGTATACACGTACAATAACTTTCCCATTCCCCCGGTTCTTCCAATTTCTGTAACTGTTATGGCAAAACAACCACCACCTTCATATTTGTTGCCGAGTTCCATACAGCCTCCTCTATTCTTGTGAATTGAAATCCGACCGGTAAATTTCCCATTAGATATGCATTACACTACTACCACAGTAACGGGAATCCCTTAAATATTTTATCAGTAAACCGATAAAAGCAAAGATAAATAGAACGGAACGAGAGACATAGAAGGAACAACAGCAAAATAACCCGACTGGGGCGGCCACGGAAAATGTTTAGTACGTAATGTTTTTTTCATTATTAAATTTCAAGATTAAAAAAAAAAACCTTATTAATCTTATAATAGCTTAAAAGTGAAGAACAGCTGATACCATAGTTACCCAATTATCCCGCTGAAATATTTAGATCATTCTTTCGGATTTTACCATTTTACCATTTATTATGAAAATAATCCTCTCCGTGACTACTATAAAAACCTTTTATTACACAGTATTTTATATTCGGTCAAAGAGATATCAAGTCAGCCAGATGTCTATTTTTAACAACTCATTTTTTTTCGTTACCTTCGTGCTTTTCTCGCAGACGCACGAGGTGATTCGGCTGTTCAAGAATGACTTACACGTTTATTGATTATTATTATCTATCGTCTGAGCTTTTAATAAAAATCGGTGTACAGAATATAGTATGATATAATATAAAATCAGTATACAAAAACTAAATTAGATATGTTGTATGACAAAAATTGTTTAATATTATCTCAAAAGTGGCAACAAAATATTTATAATAATAATAGTAACTAAATAATAACGTGCATAAAATGTACTAACTAATGAAAAACTTGAGAATAAACCTCAAATCAAAGTTTTATTTAAGTTGTAAAGTTAAAATAAAAGTTACCTTAAAAAAAGTTTGTATGGCAAAGACTAGACTTGATAATTAAGATTGAAATTAAAATCTTATTCTTCCAAAAAAATCAAAAGTGCAAGAGACTTTGATTATAACAAAGATAGGTGAGGTGACCTATATAAAATATGTAAAATTAAATTATTTTTAACAATGTAATCAAACAAAGCAACAGGAACAAGTATAATTAGTATACATTTAGAAAATAAAAATAATTAAGTTTTCTATTTTTCTTGAATTACCTACAAATGCTTAAAAAAAACTTATTAAAAAATCAACCAATGAGATGATTTTGAGTTTGATTACATTTTCAACATTAAACTGAAACTTGCTGAGTTTAACATATTGTTTAAAACGTATTCGGCTTAATTTAGGAATGACCCAAATATTGGACTGTCTAGAACCTTTTGCAAAATAATTTAAATAATAAGTATTGTTGTTCCTGAAAATAGTTCCAGCCTAGATATTAGAGAAAAATAAGAATGTTAAAATAATAAAAAACGTATTACCTGTTTCAAAAGACGAGCTGCTATCTATTTTTAATTATAGTAAAAAATGTTTGAGCAATGCATGTAAAAATGAAAAAGGAATTTATATAGAAAGAGTAGATGCACTAAATACCTATACTCTTTTAAATCATTATCAGTTTTAATCAAAAGTAACATACTTTGGCAAATTTGTACAAGGCAGTTCAACTTGTGGTGTACAATTCACATCCAAACAAACCCTTACAAAAGCTTCTATTGATTGTATGATATTATATAAAATATAACAATACGATATAATACATTGGTCATTGATGGGAGTATATTATTTAGTTTATAATCATTATAAAACAGGTATATAAATAAGTTCATGCAAAGTGTCCTGAAAGATAAAACCACTGTGCTGTGTTTTTAAAAAAAACTAATATAATTTGTACTTCAAAGATCCATGAAATAATAATTTTCTGTATTTAATCATTTTACTATGGGTAATAAAATAAAAAAATTAAAAATCCTTTAATTTCCTGTTACAATAATTAAATAAAATATAATAATAAAAAATACATTGATGAAATAATACATTACATCATTTATTCTTATAAATATCAATATATTACTTATTCTAATAAATAAATTCAAAAATTATACACTATAAAATATTTGTAATATCCACATTTTACAAAGAACTTAATTATACCATACCATTTAAGTTATATATCCGTATGCATGGTCAAGTGCCTCTTTAAATAAAGAATCAAAGTTACTACATTTTTGCAGATATCATCCTAGGATAATAGGCTCTTAAATAACTAAATTCTATAATGGGCATTGGCCTACGATGTGTTATATTTATTACTTATATCATAATTTATGTTCATGTTTAAAAACATCTAATTATTTTATAAAATACATATTTTCAAAAATTTCTATAGCTTGATGAATAATGAGTGACTTGTTAAATCAATCACCCTGTACACCCCCGCCGATATAAGTATTGTCTAAAGCGTTTTGTCTCGCGTGGTTCTATTTAAGCAAAAACATTTCCGTCGTCGTTCTCAACTACGAGCTACAGTGTGACGTTTTGATGAATCGACAAGCCTTAGTTTTTGTTTTTTTTTTTGCATCATCGCAAAAAAATAGCACGGTAAAACTCCATAACGACACTATAGGTACTACCAACGGTCTTTGAAAACGACGGCGCAAAGGGCGTCAATACGATTTCGACGGAAAATCGTTTTTGTTCGATTAAGGTGTTCACGAAAATCGGACTTCTCTAGAAACCATTTCATGAAAGTCAGTCGTGGTATTTATATTACCTATATGAACTGAAATATGCGTTATTGTCAAGTGAATCTACTACGAGTTTCTGCCATACACTAATACATAAAACGCTTTACATTTCTCAAATCAAGTATGTATTGGTATGATACTAATATATTATAACTTATAATAAAAAATAAAGAATAATAAAATATTTTTACCCCATACAATATATTATCAGGTGATATTTTAACTATATAATAATATAGGAACACACACTTCATGTGATTGTAGCTCCGAACCCCGAGAGTTGAAAGGATATCGCGACCTCGGAGTTAAGGGTAGGATATTATGTTCGAATACCTTATGTACTGTATTACATAAGGTATTAATGGATTCGACCCACCGCTGACTCTTATACAGTCATATGCACTTACCGAGGGCCGTATCTGACCCAATGAAAGCACACATAAGCGCAAGTAATTGATAATATATATATATATAGAGTACAGGAGCATTTTTAATAGTCGGTGGTGTAGTCCTGAGTGCATCGCAGATAACGTTATTACTTATCACGATTATTATAATGTTATTATATTATACCTACCCGCATATAATATAGAACTCGTTTAACGACAACGTTGGATTTTTGCAGCCCGAAGACCAACGCGTCGTGGTAGAATGATTTAAATAATACCGACCCCGCACAGTCGGTCACCTGGCCCGCGTCCGCTGCACGTAACCAGCACCAGGTATATACAATATACCTATATTGTATTATATTATACCGTGGTAATGGGATACGTGTGAACGGTAACGCGTGTGAAAACACAAGGGACCATCCCACTATTCTTGCTCTGCCCGTTATAGTGGCGTGTCGTCATTGTGACCGTAGTAGGTACACATCACAGACACACACACAACGACAACATGTCGTCGCATTATCGTGCAAAACGAACGGGCGGACGGATGGCACGGCGCACACAATGTTAAAGACCATGATTGATGACGTTCAACCGGAAAGCTCCAATGACAAATGACCGTGGCAGAAATTACAGAATGCCCTGGCGACGACGACGACGGGGTCAGGTCTTGCTCCTGTGTAATACCGCGGCCGTCGTGTCACCTTGTCCGCCTGCACAGATCGTTGCGTGCGCCGTGCACACTTCGCTCGGTATATAATATTATTAGGTATTTGAGATTTCACGGCAGACGTCACGGGATTTGGCCGAACGATATAAACGGTGTGTGGAGAAAAAAAATAATTAATATCCCTCTCCCGGACGAGTGTGCGGTTAACGACGGCACTTCTCGCGCGATAAACGAATGAAATAATTGCTCGAACGCTTTACTCGTAGAGCCGCGTTAAAGTTTTACAATGCGTTTTCTGCGTTTGTGTGTGTGTGTGTGTGTGTGTGTGTGTGTGTGTGTGTGTGTGTGTGTGTGTGTGTGTGTGTGTGTGTGTGTGTCTGCGCGCGCCTGTATTTAAGCGACAAATAGAAAACGCGTTAAAGGAAAAGCGATCAGACCATCAAGCGAGGTGTGTGAGTTTCTATACGTTCCTTATATATAATACTACGCAGGTGGGTACGAAATGTCTGCCAAGAAGGTTTACCGTTTTAAGGCTTATAATGGAGTTGCCCTTCTGCCATCTCAGATTAGTAAATCTCTACAAATTATCCCGTTGTACTATATCGATCAACTTAACGCTGGTTGTAAAGGGACCTATATAGTCATTATATTATTAAAAGATTTTTGTTTGAAAATCAATTTCTTAAATTGATCATAATAACATTCCGTAATTTCATTATATATATATATGTAATATGTATAATATACCAAAAAAAGGAACTCAAGAAATATATTTTGAATTACAATGGAATAGGTACTTATCCAAAATCTTTTAAGAAAAAATCATTATTTTATATTCCAATATGGCAATATCCAATTTCGTCAAAGTTTTAACTTCAAACAATTAAAAAAAAAAATTATGAATAGATATTTACCTACTTTTGATACATTTTAACTGCTGTAAGAACAAATTAAAATACGTAAGTCGTACACCTAGTATTACTTTAAAAAATTGTTGTCAACATTAATCGAAAAAAAATCAGTAAACTCACTCTGCTGTGTATTGATTTTTTAATGTAGATTATTATTGAGTGAGCCAAAGTAATATGTGTATTTCATTTGAATTCAATGATAAACTATTGCATATAAAAAAGTAAAAATTTGAGCAGATGTCAGTCTCTATTTCTAGGATATTTAAAACTTATCATACCTACCATTAGTAATCTATATAATAAAAATGAAATGCTGTCCGTCGTTGGTAACCACATCACTTGAAAACAGTTGGACCGATTTGTCTCATTTTTTTCAAATGTTCGCAATAATTATAATAGTCCGAATGAGATTCTAACGAAAAGAAAAATTAGAAAAGTTGCCGACGAAGAAGGCTCAAACAAGGGTTTTAAAATTTACGATGTAAATAGAAAATTGTTTATGCCATTTACATATTACAGGTTATAATAGTAATAACAAATAGAAGATAGAAATAATCTATTTATTTGTACATAAATATGAATGGTAGCCAATGTTGCCATTGGAAACTCGGACAGATTAGGCAAAACATGCATTAGATCGAAGCGTTTATGGGACAGAATGATGAAATTATATCTTAAAACAAATATGAGAGTTGAATGTATGTTATGTAGCATATATTCTCAAAAGTACTTGACCAATTTTGTGAAAATTTCAAAATTTCTTACTTCCTTGATGATATCGGGAAAGTTTAGAGAGTATAGTTTAAATCACGTTCGATTTAAACCAAGTGCTATATATTCAATCCACCACAGGTGAATTGTCTACCTAGGTCGAATTAGTTTACAAACTGAACACTACCGCTGATTTACACACGAATTGAGGTACACTAAATCCATGATAAACCTTTTAGCACTATATTTGACCTATATTTTTTTTATTTTTTCAAGTGCGAAGTCGGGTTATACAGCTAAAAATGGACGTTGGTTCATTCAGAGTTAATAGATTCAAAAACCACTAGACAGTTTTCAATAAAAATTAAATTAGTAGATCCCTTGAGGCTTGAAGGGTGTTTATAGCTTATTTCTTAAACCTTAAACCTTAAACCCCTATAGCTAAAGGGTAGCTCATTGCATGAATTATTTTCATCTGACAAAATTTTTTTTGTTTATTAAATTGTTGCCATTGGTTTACGTATTACCTATTTTATATTAGTATAATATGACTACCTAGTAGAAATATAACATAAGATAATTTTTTTACATAATAGATCAATTATAAAAAGTTAGATCTTAGGCAACGACCGCTAGCTAATAATAATTATATTACGTAGTAATAGCTTTGTCATTAAGTTTTAACTTTTTAGTCAACGATATAATATAACTATATAAGTGAATATTTTTAAAGACGTATGACGTACCACTGTACAACTGCGTGATATAAAATAAATAAGAAGAAAAGAGGGTAATAATTTATAAATTACAATAAAAAAACAAATTTCAACTAGATAAAAATATTGTTTTCACAAAAAGGTGATGACTGTCACACACATAAAAAAAGTTATATCATTATAAAACCAACATAATATAATTCTAATAAAACCTGGTAAGTTGCTCTGCTATATAATACATGTCAAGTGTAACTCGTTGAGTAGGTATTGGGAACCTATCCCAAATACCACTCTCAAAGTTGAATATTTAAGCATTTTTTCTACTATAAAAATTAAACAATGTCACAAAAAAAAAACACATATCATTGTTAAGCCAATACATTCATCGCTCCGCTCAAAATCTAAAAAGTAATCAAACAGATTGCTTTTCCGAGAATTTTTAGTTACAGTTTTTTGACTCGAAGTTATAAACAACCTACAATTTTAAGAGTTAATTTGTCGAGTGGAAAGATACTGTCAGGTAGACTACGTTGTTGTTTCGATTATAATGTAATGTTTCTAGTCTTCAATTCACCGGAAAATTTTTCAGTTTTCACATTAAAAGAATATACATCCGTTTGTTTCTTCTATTTTTATAAATCTTCATTGAAAAATACATTGTAATTCATCAGTTATTATTTATCATTAGGTATATTCATTTATATAAGTTTAATTTTAGAACTAGGGTTTTTTTAAATTTATTATACAATGTGTAATATTAATATTAATTTTAAAGGTGATACCAGAAAAAATATAAAACACGTATAACTAAAAACTTACTAATTTTTATATTATATTTATACTCATTGTATAAATGGAGTATATTGGCATTATGCTCATTGTAACCCTCACTGCTTTAAGCGATGACATAATTTATTTTCAGTTCTCTTTCAATAAAAGTTTATATAAACAATTCGTCCGAGTATAAACCGAATTAAATAATAATGACATTAAATTACTTTGTTATTTAAATAAGCCTTTAGGGACTTCATTATATAATAAAAAAAAAATATATATTTTATTCTTTAATAGTCATACCACAAAGTTAGAACGCACAGTTTATTCATTATTGATGTGTGTGTGTGTGTAATTTAAAAATTGATAACATTTCAATTAAAACAAATTCGACGCATTGTAAATGAATTCACATTTATTATGGTTGCATAAATGTTTTAAGCTTATACCACGCGGAAGCGATGGTTTTCAATATTTCTGCGTTTAAACACCATTAGTGTTTTTGATGTATAATTGTGAACATGGTTGTAATTAATCACTACCAGTCAGAAGATCAAATACACTGTAATAATAATTCATCATATTAAAGTTTATTCTATTACTCGTACATTAAAATTCAAAATAATCACTTCACGTGCCTAAAACATAATATTATTGTATAACATATTATAAATATTATAATACTATAGACTATTAGCTGTTAATTAAATATTAACAAAGTAAAGCCTAAGTATAAATTATATATACCTACGTCCTACATTGATTTTCCTATCTTCCTATAATTGTTAAGGAATAAGCTCAACAGTTTAAAAATGTATATTAAGGTGCATGTACAATACTGCTATGTATAGTGAGTACCTACAATAGTGAGTACCACCTACTATGTCCTATATAAGTCACTATATTTTATACTAACACATTATACATATTAGGGTACTCATTATTATCTAAACCAAAATTGGTTACAGTGGAATTCAAGAGACCAAGTGTTTGGTTAATCATTGTAATCCATATTTCATTATAAAAAATATTCCTAACAAATCAAAATTGAAATATTTTGTATTTTTGTAATTTTTTCCAATTATTATAATATTATTCTTATACTCGCAGATGGCAATTGTAGACCACAAACGGGACAGCCAAGTCAACCTCAAGCAGGATCGCCTCTGGACTCGAACATCGGCAACAACAATAACAACAACAACAACAACAACAACAATAACAATAACAACAACAGCGCCATATCGCGACGTGGTTGGCGGGGCGAATGGCGGCGAACTGATCCGGGCACGGTGTACAGTTACATATGGAAGAGCAGTGATCAGCCACTCGGTGAGTTTGTCCAAGCAAATATGTATAATATAAAATATAATATGGAACATTATTTAGTGTATAGTAAGTCCCTATTATATAACATAATATTAGGAAAGCTGCTATGTGTACTTAACAACTTAAGTAGTATACTCAAGTCGTTTGAGAGGTCTCAAATATTAGCCTATAACTATAAATACCTATCAAGTAGGTACGTAATATCATATCGCATTCACCTCTTCTCAATTCGTATTAACTCTTTGATGGATCTCAGCTACAACTGGTGATATCATCTACAGATCCTGGGATTAATTACTCTCTGACCTTTCGCCTGATCCCCACGCTTAGGCCGTAGGTATCCATCAACATGAAGGTCCTAAGAGGTTTAAAAATTACAGGGCTTATAAAACCAAATATCCACTAATTAAATAATGGGTATACTTTTGCCAAATGTTTTTCTCAATATTATATACTCTGAAGTCTGAATCTATCATCGAATTATATTTTAGTTAACATTGAGTGCCTACAAATATTATGGTACCATGTCTTGTTATATTTTAATCTAAGTAGTAATAACTATTTATTTCCCTTATGCATTTTAGTGCGTAATTTCCGTGCCGGCGTGTACCGACTTTACAAATATAAATAAAATAAATAAATAATGTGTGTTTCGCTCGACGGCGGCGAATAACGGCTGGTAATGGTACTGGACAACTGCAGCAGGGCCGTAGTGGTGGCGCTCGTTGATGTCAGCTATGAATAAAAAATCGAGGGGCGTGGGCGGTGAATAAAACAAGAACTGAACGGAAAATGGAAATGAGTGTATTATTTTACACATGTATGCAATATAGGTACCTGGTACACGTATGTATTTATAATAGTATAATATAAATATATATATATACCTGGGCCGCTCGCCTCACATCCGGACGTACACACGCGTAAATATATTATACATAACTGCCGGTACGCAACACTTCGCTACTGTAGTGCATATTATATATGACTATTATGATATGTGCATTATTAATATGCATAATATTATTATACTTATTATTAACTAGTTGAAATATTAACATTTGCTCATAAGATACGCGTGCGTGTGCAGTGTGGACTGCGTTCGTCCTGTACCTTATAGTAATATATATCTGCCATATTCCACCAAAACAGTTGCGGTTGACGAGACTATTATATTATTATATAATAATAAAGCCCGGCTGCTATATAATATATACGTCATTATGTCGTCAGTATTGTAGGATGCGTCCATATACGATAATGTTAAATAGTATATTTTTAATAACATAATAAATTATATTATTTCATGTTTATAGATAATTATTTGGGTACCAGCGCAGATTATTAATTATCTATTATTATTTGCGAATGTTCGTGTACGCCGACGAATAGTTCCGCCGGAAGGATATATATTATTATATTATATTATACAGAGGATGGTTCGCCATGGTTTTCCAGTTTTCCTCGTTTAACTAATAAATCAAAACGTTAAAACGCATCGAGTCAGCCTGTGATATATAGTATATAATATTATCATTTATTATAGATAATAGATATTTATACTAAGGCATGTCTATCATAGACTGCATATTATGTATATTACTATTATATTATATAAGTATAGTACGAATAAAATGCTACTGTGGGACGTCGCGATGGTAAATTCATTTTTCCAAAAACTCACATACCTAATATATAGAGCATTTAACTTATATAACTGTGTGGCCTGAATAAAACTCGCGTTTACGGATACTAATGTTGCCAAGTTAAGGATGTAATACTATATTTAAATTATTTCATGGATACTTATTACCTATAGATCTTAGTTACGAACTACATAGTACCTATATTTAGGCTTAACAAATGTCGGTTGAACGATATTAGTGGCACACGCGTCTTGTTTCAGCGCACAGTCAAGTCAATTTTGTATAATATTTATTCATTTGATACCGACCGTAGCTAAAGATATATACTGATTTAATTTTTAATTTTTATTTTAGCACTCAAACAGTTGTATGTAGCTCTAATAAATATTTAAAATATTATGAGATAAATTTTATTTATATTTTTCATACTGATTGTCTAAGCGTAAAGAAAAATAGCCTATAAGTTCGGAAAATTGACGAAGAAAGCACTTAGGAAGTGATTCTTGGAATTTTGTATTATACAAAGGTCTTATCAAATATTAAATAGTCTAATTTTATGATTTATCGATAAAATAACTTTGAATCATTAAATTTTCATATTTTTTTTTTGTTGATACCTAGGTATAAGGTTGAAAGATATATTAAGACGTTTACGACCAATTGAAGCATAATGTTATTTTATACCTACTTATTATAATATGTGTTCCTATCAGATAGGTACTAATGCCTAGGTAACAGTAATTTTTTTAAATTAATAATAAATAAACCTTCCATTTAACGGGAGGAAAATATTTCTGAGAAATAAAAAAGCAATAAATTAGATAAATGAATAGTTAAATATTTTTATCGTGTATTTGAACATAGAATATATAATATGGTACAGGCAAAGTAGAAATCTACAACTATTATAATTTAATACAATTTAAATTTTATTTATAAAAAACTATTATAAATTATAATAATATAAAAATTGAAATATTACTTATTTTTAAGACACCAATGTTTGCTATATACCAAAACGAAGATTAATTAAAAACGTGAAAAAATAATTATAAATTATTACCTAGGTATTTGTTTTGTTTGCTGCGCAGTGCTTAAATTTAAATGTAGTTTTTTATTGTTTTTATTTTTTTTATTAATATTTTATATTAAAATTAAAAAAAAAAACTATGCAATTGTTGTAGACTGAAAACAATTATGTCAATATAAAAATTATTTTTACCATAAAAATAAAAACGTATTTTTCATCTTACGATTCGATCAATACAAAGATCAAAAATCTTCCTGTTAATACAAATAACTAGTAACATTATGTAAAACCCACAACTTATTCATGTGCGTACTTTTTGAAACAAATCTATTACTGAATTGCATTAATTATTTTCAAATCATTATATAATATTTATATTTTATATAACATTATATACACTATATTACTGGACCAACAATACCTGTTGACTTGTGACCAATGTCAAATCTTGAGAAGTGAAAACTATTGATAGTACCTTAATCCTAGAAACTACATATTATTATCTAGGTGACTCTGTCCTATAGTACTACGGTCTCCCCTCAGCGTTTCCTTGCAGAAGATATTGGAACAGCACGAACACGTCGACGGTCGTCTAACACTTTTAGGCTTAATATTATGTTTTTGTAATAATCAATATAATATTTTAGGTAGGTAGTTAAATAAACGTTGATACACAACTTTTATTTAATACATTTCAAAAACTGTAATTTAGTTTTAACAAAAGTTCATAATGAGAAATGTGTGAAGAATCCATCCACAGGCTGGATTTATTACACCATCGGGCATCAATATCACTACAACTAAAAATAATTCTACTTAAATTTTAACTTGGACACTGTTCTAGTATTATAAAAATATCCAATAAGATACGTCTTATATTGAAAAATTAAAATAATAATATAAATCTATTACTGATTTCCCTGAAGATATTTTAAGAATATGAATAATTTTATTCCTAAACTGACAAGACTGGGTATTTTCTTTTCTGCCAAAAATTCGTTGATCAATAAAAATTGTCATATTGGTCGTAGGTAGGTATATGGAATATGGTTTATAATATACTGTAGAAGTTGACAAAATTGAAACAACTGTTCATTTTGATGAATTAATATTTTGTAATGGTGACAATTATATGGCATAGTTTGGAAAATCGTAATTTAATTTAAAATTAAAAATATAAAAATGTTGTGCAATGATATTATAGCGTATAACTTTATATGTCATCGTGTTTACACGTTTTAAGCTCCCCGCCTAATCCTCCTACTCGTCACTGGCTTTAGCGTCGTGATATTTAATTAATATATTATACGATACGGTGTGCGCCTTTCGACAAGCTGACTTGATAATATATCATGCTTGCCGCTCAGTATAATATTATAACGCCTATATACCTTATATATACCTATCATCGTTGTACAATAAAGAGGAATGATTTCCGGCTGCGGTGCGGACTGCTCTTGGAAACGAAAGGTATCAGAACCGTATAAACCTGAAGGCAATAAGGGTTCAAACGACTATGATATTATTATTATTATTATTATTATTATATTAAATAACGTCGGGCGGGTCGTGGAGTTAAATACCGTCCGGATTTACTTTCCACGCGTTTAATACAGGTTCACCCCCTCCCCTCTATACGACCATAACGCATACGCGTACTCAATGCGCACGCACTGCGTAGATTATTCAAAAAGTTCCGCTTAGGTGGTGCATTTCATGAAGCACGATTCATTTCTGGTTGGCTGATTTTCGTTTAAACTTTGCGAGTAGAAGGCACAAAAAAAAAACACCCCGAAAGGATTTCACGTACACACCGCGTTCGAAACGGTTTTATTGTTTTTTTTTCCACGCGTGCAGTGACTTATCAGGAACAGAAGAAAAGCTCGAAACAAACTTAACAATTTAACACATTTTATTCGTTAACGGATATTTTGCATGTAGGTACCTTGAGTGTAAACTTTTTGGAGATTTTTCGTTACACAATAATTTTGCCATTCGCTGAGCCTTTTTAGGTTGTTTTTTTTTTAAACACTCTTTTTCTCTTGCATTACATTTTGTTCGCTACAGGTTAATAAATGTAAGGAACGATGTAGACATATAAAACAGACTGGAAAAGGTAAAATGTGAAGAATTGATGAAAACAAAGGAACTATTATAAATGAGTGTAATAAAAAAAAGCAAATGGACCACCCGTCCCGTGACTTATTTAGTACCTATGTAATATACTTTTTTCATTTAAAAGAAATAGAATAAAATATACTGTAATAAAATCATACGTTTTCACTATGGATTACACTTGAACAAACCTTGGTTAGTTCATATAAATA